TTTTAATTAATCTTGGCAGCTTTTTTATTTACAATACACGCTTGACTGCTTAAACTTTTTTGGGATTAGGCCTGAAAATAGTGATGTTATTATACAAGGAGATCAAGGATGACCAGGAATAACAATTTTAAATTACTACCACAGCCTCTGACGAGTTTTATCCAGAGATAAACAGATGGATGACATATATTTAACACAATGTTATAATTGACCTAGGTTACTGCAAGTAGACTTACTATCATTTTGTAAAATCTAAAACATTGTTTGGCTTTTGTTCATGTGTGGTTACGTTGCCCTGATGTAGGCAAAATATAACTTTTATTTCTACTAAATATCTTATAGTTTGACTAATATGGGAAATTAGGGTGGGTAATTATCACGGATATTAGAACGGATAACGATATGGATGATAAACAAAGAAAAATTAAGTCACTAGCTTTCTAGCGTGTTTACTTTTTTAAATTCCTTCTACAGGTAACAAGTTCTTTATCCAAATGAATGTTATTTAACTAAACAGCTGTTTCAAAACAAACTATCTGTCATTGTTTTTACTTTTCTTTGTTTACTTATTTATTTAGTAATTAGTGCAGTGAAATTGATATAAACCTTTTACCTTTTACCTTTTACCTCCTGTCGTGAACTTTTACCAGAGAAGACTGGATTGTTCATGTCAATAAAAAAATTAAAACATCACTTCATACATAAAATTGAATATGAAAACATTTAACTATCATTAATATTTACAGAGTACAAATGGCGAGCAGGGAGGAGAGTGAATCGGCAAAAAACTCGTCAATTGAGTAAAAAGCCATGTCCTTTAGCCACCGCACCAAGACACGTTCAAAGCGGTTTTTCTCAAGCAGTCTAACCCTAGTTGGAAGCTTATTAAACATCTTCAACGCTAAGTCCGGGAAGTGCTTTGAGGTCTTAACTAGCCTACGCCTCGGGATGTCCAGATTAGATCTGCTTCTTACGTAGTGGTCATGTATTTTGCTTCTGGTGGTGAAGGAGGCCTCATGTCGCTTAACATAAACCAGCGAAACCAGGATGTAGTTAGACGGTACAGTGAGTATGTCCAAACTCCGAAACAGGGGCCGGCAGTGATCTAGATAATCACTAGAGGTGATAATTCTCACCGCTGCCTTCTGCAGCAAAAGCAGTCTGTAGCACTCCGAAGCGTGCCCCCAAAGAAGCAGTCCATAGCTGATGTGAGAATGGAACAGGGCATGATAGACCACTGTTAGGTATTAAAGGATAGGTATGGACAATACATTTCTCAAATTGACAATACTCTCTCTACTGTACTTATAATCAGTGTGCTAATTGGCCGCAAATTTCACCTCAAGGCTTTTAACATTGACAAAATTGTTTTTATTATAAAATTATCGAATTTAAAATGCATATCGTATAGGCCTATAATTGGATGAAAGGAATAGGTGGTCAAGAGACCTTTGTTTACAAGACAATTTCAAATATAAAATAATAGTGGTTTAGTTACCTTTACTTTCGTCCCAGTTCAATAAAAAGTTGTAATATCTAAAATCATGGTTTCGACGCTAGTTGCGTCATGGTCACGTAGTTAGCAAGTCGAGAAGTATCTTGTCATAGTCGGTCGCTTGGACGTCGTCATATTTACACAAACACGGACACGGACATAAACACACACGTATATTGATTAAAATAAAAGGTTCTCGTGGACGGAACACAGGCCTGTGGTGAACAGTTAATTTGTACCGTCGCGGGAGTCGGCAGGAGAACACTGAGGGCGACGGCGTCTGTGATTACATGACCCTTGCACCTTCTTTGGACATGGACTCGTCTTGTGGGGGTTGTCTGTTGAAGATAGACTTGCCTGACGAACTTGAGATGTTTGGATGATTTTATTAAAGATTAAATGTGAACTATAATTTAGTTTTTCATTCAATACGCTATCGCTATCCTGTTTTAGGGCCTTATAAATATGGAATTCCTTGAGGGTGTCAAGAGTAAAACCTTTGCTGCAAACTTCAATTATCTCAATGTTATTTTCAATATTTCCAGTGCTATGTTCTTTGTCCATAATGTGTTGAGCATAACTAGATTTTTGAGGATTTATTCGGGGATTTGGTTTATGTTCCTTAGCCCTTTTGACAAAGGATCTGCCTGTTTGTCCTATGTAAAACTTATCACAGTCATTACATTTTAATTTGTAGACGCCAGTTTTTTCTAATTGGTTAACATTTTGCTGTGATTTGGGTTTAAGTAGGCTATCAATTTTATTGGAGGTTCTAGGTGCTGGAATTATGTTGAATGGTTTGAGTTCTTTTTTCAATAAATTATGGAGTCTGTGGCCATATTCAATGGGAACGTATTTAGGTTTTATTTCATTTTGTTGTTCAGTTTTATCAGACGACTGTTTTTTCAACTGTTTAATTAAAAGTTTGTCAACAATTTTTGTTTCATAGCCGTTAGAACGTGCGATGTACTTTATTATATTTATTTTGGTGTTGTAATCTTCAGGAGACAGTGGTATCTTGATCATTCTATTAATCATGCTATTATAGGCAGCTAGTTTGTGGCTAATAGGGTGGTACGAAGATGCGTGTATAGTTTGGTTGGTAGTAGTAGGTTTCCTGTATATACTGTACTTGAATCTATTGTTGAGTTTTTCTATTGTAAAATCCAGGAAGTTAATCTTGTTATCGCTTTCTGTTTCGAGGGTAAAATTTAATTTCGGACGTATACTGTTAAGATACTGTAATTATTTAGTAGCTGCAGTTGGCGAGCATTACCATCAAATAAGACCAGGGTATCGTCGACGTAGCGGTAATAAAACAGGATTTTATTCTGTTTTGGATTTTGTTCTGAAAGTATATATATGTATTCTCTATGTAGTTCAAAAATATTTCAGACAGAATTCCTGACAAGGGGGAACCCATAGCAAGGCCATCAGATTGCAAATAAAACTTGTTGTCGAAGCTGAAGTAATTTTGTTTTAAGGTAATGTCTAGCACAGGGCCGATTTACCGAATAGGCACGGTAGGCACGTGCCTAGGGCGCGAGGCAATTGGCTTTTTTGGGGGGCGCCAAAAATTTGAAAATAAAAAAAAATTGTGGTAGTATTTGCATGATATCACGGTAAACTTCTAATAACCACTCGCGGCCGTGGATTCATCGTAATCGTCTCCCGCGTTTGCGGCTTCGATTCTTACTATTTTCTGCAGTCAGGTCGTTTGGACATAAAATTATCGTCCTCCATGATCGAGGCAATATAAGAACGTATCCCGCAGTCGTGAGGAGATTATTATCATCTACCGCAAATGAGGCAAAATTCGGATATTTTCCCGCGGTCGTGAGGACATTATCGCGTTCAAATTCTGACCACCCCCGCGGCCGTGAAGACATAGTAGTCGCCTCCCGCGATTGTGGCAAAATCGTAATCATCTCCCTCGGACATATGGAGATAATCGTCTTCGGCGAATGAGGCGAAATCCTGATCTTTTCCTGCGGTCATTTGGACATTATCATCGTCTTCCGTGATCGCGGCAATATTTGATCATCCCTCGTGGCCGTGTAGAAATAGTTATTATATCTCCCGCGGTCCTGTAGATATCGTACGTATCCCGCAGTCGTGAATCCATGGTAATCGTCTCCAGCGATTGCGGCAAAATTGTAATCATGTCCTGCAGTTTTGTGGAGATCATCATCGTCTTCCGCGATCGCGGCAAAGTTCTTGAGGTTTCCCGCGGTCGTGTGGACACCAATCGTCTTCCGTGATTGTGGTAATATTCTGATCATCCGTTGCGGCTCTGTAGATAGTAGATAACATCATTGTCTTCTGCGATCACGGAAAATTCTGATCATCCCTCGTGGCCGTGTGTAGACATTTATCATTGTCTCCCGCGGTCACGGAAACGTCACTGTTGTCATGCGCGATCACGGAAACGTCACTGTTGTCATGAGCGATCACGGTAAATTGAAAACTCCAGGTAGAAATACAAAATTCACGGTTCAAAGATCTCCCGCATGATTCCCGGATTTCCCGGTCGGTGTACACCCTGTTATATATATATTGCAAAGGGGCGCTACTATTAGACGTGCCTAGGGCGCTGACAGGGTCAAAAACGGGCCTGGTCTAGCAGGTTGATCAGTTCAATTCTAGCCTCGGATGTTAAAGATTGGGTATTCTTAAGATGATTATCAATGATTTGCAGTGTCTCATGAATGGGTACGTTAGTATATAAATTAACGATATCAAATGAGGCTAGTGTGTGGTGATTTCTTAATTCTATATGTTTTGTTTTCTCGACCAAGTCTAAGCTGTTCTTTAAACTGTGGCTATCTAAGAACTCAAAATGTAATCTAAGTATTTGATCGAGTTTTTTAGCAACCTTATATGCCGGTGTAGTTGTGAAATTTACAAGAGGGCGTATAGGAATTTCAGGCTTGTGAATCTTAGGGAGACCTCTCAGGGAAGGTGCTGAAGAGTTCATCATTTTTAGAGCTTTAATTTCCTCTGGTTTCAGGAGATTTTTACTATAACTAATTCCTTTGTTGATAACACTGGTATACTTAAGAGTTGGGTCCTTATCAATCAGGGTGATGCCGTTGTCATTGATAAAACGGGTAACCTTATCTATGTAATCGTTCTGGTATAAAACAACAATTGAATTGCCTTTATCGGCTTTTGTGAGTATGGCTTTATTGTTTGTTAGTTTTTCCCTAATACTGTTGAGGATTCGTTTATCATTCATATTATTTGTCCTTTTACAATAATCCTCCGATCGTTGTAGATATTACAACTTTTTATTGAACAGGGACGAAAGTAAAGGTAACTAAACCACTATTATTTTATATTTGTCTTACCAGTTCAGGGGCAAGCCACAACAATGAGTAAAATATAAGACAATTTCCCCTATTACAACTGCCAGAATGTTTCTTTATGCCTGTAAACTAGGTGTTCCGAATTATATTCAGTTTTAATTGACTACTTGACGGGCCTACAGCTAGTGTGTGTGTACCTTGACGGAGGTGACCAGGCTGACAGTGCCGTGACCCACACTGAGGTTGACAGTGACTCTGCTCTGTGTAGTCCCCCTACCAGTAGGCTTAGTTTCCCAGGCTGAGTAGAACTGGTTCTCCCCATCCTCCGACTCTGAATCTGACTCTACAACAAACATTACTGTAAGTCCAACACAAAACATTACCTCTTTATAATACTGTATCTCAATAATTTTCTGCAGCGAACGCAATTTGAATTTAATGTTGGTAAGCATTTGAAGACTGAGTGTAAAATTGATATACTTTCGTTACATACATTATAGAAATACAATAACATAAAAATGTATATCACTCAACTCTTTGATCTCGGGGTTTAGAGTCTATCTCGATATATTTTTCTCGTAATCATTTTCACATATATTTTGAAATAACAACTTTGAGCTACATGTAAAATTCTTGTTTGAATCAATATATTTAATCTAAATATCTGGAGCTAGGAAAAAGGTAACATGGCTGTTGAGGATTCATTTTAAAGCTTAAGGTCCAAGGACAGTGGGAAAAATATCAGAAGAGTCAAAAGTTACCCCTGCTCTGCCCACAGGCCGTCAAAGATTCAGTCATTTTCTAATGGAAGTTCTTCTACGAGGTTTCTATAAGCTGTTTTAAATATACCAGCTAATGTAAACATTGCGTATTTATTTTTTGTTTTATTTTTCCCAAAATTGTATTTATATTATTAAGGAACAAACAGGATCACTCTGGCAGTACTCAGGTAATTTTATACCTTTTATAGATAGTAAATTACCAACTGGGTTTTCATGTTTTTTGTGTGTATTTACGATAAATCAAGATTTAATAAATGGCTTTCACTTTAGATTTGAGAAAAGCCAATTTTATGTGTGTGCATTCACACATAAAAACGCGATTGGTGAAAACATCGTATATACAATTTAAACATGCAACTGCTTAGGGCCTTTGAGGGTTTTGAGAACCACAATTAAACATCGCACAAGGTTTTATATTACTTAATGTTATTTTAAGAGACATAATACTCTAAAATAAAGTTATGGGAGAACTGACTGTACTATTGGACAATTAGGTTTAAGCATGTACACCTAACTGAAAAGAGATATAACGGGAATGGTATCTTGGCCAAAAACATATTTTGTAGGTCGGTGGTTTCAGAGTGAGTAGTCCGAAACTCTTGATGGAAGGGCAGTTATTGTTGTAAATGAAGAAGCTTCCCTTGGTTTTAACTTTATTAGTCACATATGCTAAACTAAATTCCACATCCACCACTATTTGTTCAACATCTTCTTCTTCTTGCTCAGCCACATCATTGATCTCAATGTTTCTATTTCTTCCTTATTGTTCCAGCTGGTTAAGTCTTCATTCCAATGCATATTGGTTTAAAACTTGCACATTCTCAGTTTTTATATTGTGCCAATCGCTAAGCCATGTAACACAAAATTTACTTCTTTTCAACAAATTTTTTTATGTTAAAAAAATACGCATTACTGATTCTCTATACCTGTACACATTTCTTCCTATAGGTTGGCCGGACAGACAGTGACCTGCGCGAGGATTTGTCACGCATGTAAGAGGAGGTTACTTTCTAAGCGGCCGACCTATACTTACCAAACTGTATAGCTGACTTGCACATGGTGAAAGCAGACACAAAGGCAGAGAGGGGGGGAGAGGAGACAGAGCCCCCACTGCCTTGGGGTGATGGTGACCAAAGAGACAGATCTGTACTGAGTCTGAAACAACATCGTGCATCTCTGAATAACAATAGTTTAACCATAATTTTATTTTAATACAAGGCACAATGATTACCTAGATTATTTTGCAGGAACCTATGTAGCCTAATATTTTAAAATATAAGTAGTTTATGTGTATTATTTTTTTGAATCAGTTTAAACATGTTTTGTTGCAAAAACAACATTCAAAAGATTGCAGCTAACTAAGATTGTGACACACATTTAAATTACGCATGACACAAACATAAAAACAAAATGCATGAATAAAATACGATGGTGTGCAAATAAGATAGTGCTATATCTTTAGCAAATTACGTTTAAGCTGATTCAACCAAATAATTGTTGGACTATTTAAAAGAGGTAAAGTAAAATATTTTTTTTATTTTAATAAAGTAATCCAAAGGCTAGGAATCTGAATTTGATCTTTTTGTTCTAGGTAAACACAAGAATCGGATAGGTAAACATTTTACACAATAACGGTCATGAACCCAGTCGGCATATTCCTTAAAATTCCTACTGACATTTTAAGTTTTGAGGTGGAGCATTTAGAAGGAAATATTGGTTGGTCCCCATGGAAAAAAAGACCACATTATTTACATTTATATTAACTTTGTTTGCATCTATATATAATCTTTAGGGATGGTCAAGTCTCGAAATTTCGAGAAATTTTCGGGAAATTTTAAATCTCGTTACACGAGACAAGATTTCTTTTTGGCCGAGATTTTTATCGAGACGAGAATAAAAAATAAAAAAATTATAAACGCCTGCAGAAAGTCAATGCAATACCCGCAATACAGGAACGTGTTGTAGTTGCGTTTCCTTTGCGAAGGCGTTCTTATTTAATTAATTCTTTAAATGTAAATATTACTTTAATTATTTTAATAATAATACTTTAATAACATTTGAGAAGTTTTGTTAAGTGTAAGCAGTGTGAGGAATGTTTTATTACTTTAAAAAGTCAAAACAAGTACGGTACCTAACTATTTTATAAAAATTAATATTGCTTTTATTTTATGTTAGGATAAGTTGAACTCTATCCTAACTGATATCACTATGTTTCCTAATCGTAGGCATTTTTAATAAGTTAGGCGCGATTAATAAAAAAATTTTATGCTGATGTTTTTTAATAAAAGATTGTAAATATTCTTGCCTATTATCATTATTTTTGTATTTAAACAGTCATCGAACAATGTTACAAAATCAGGTAAAAATTTTGAACGTGCATTTCCCGTTGTGTATGAGAAGGGAAATCCCGTCTCGAAATTTTATGAGAAATAAAAAATCTTGTCTCATCTCGTCTCGAACTAAAAATCCAATCTCATCCATCCCTAATAATCTTCATAAGAAACGCAAACTTTTGAGAAAACCGTAAGCCTAAGAGACCGATCAACCACATACTTGAATGAAAGGTCTTGATGAGAAATCTGTTTTACATCCTCATCCCGTTACAAAGCACAAGTAAAGCAACCAGTAATATTTTTCGATTTTGTGGAAGTTTCTGTCTGTGTGTCTGTCTACAGGTGAATGCAAACATTACTGAACCAACTGGGCTGCAATGTTAAACCTAGTAACATACACACATTTTTACATGGTAGATGTTTTCACCTATCAAAATCAGTTTTTAATCATGTATTTTAGGAGAATGTAAATAAGGGATTTGTATAAGGGAGGTCTACAATGAATGAAATCCACATACTTAAACAAGTTATTAGTAAGCACTGGGAATACAATAAAGAAGTACAAGAGCCTTTCATAGATTTTACCTAACCCGCCATGTTAAACTTCCCTATCCCAAGCGTGATGTATACAACTTCTTTACTTCACGAGTGATGTAAAGTTGAAAAAACTCACTCGGTGAGGTAATGAAACCCATTTAAATAACATTGAGTGGTTAACTTAAAAAATATACCTCTATGGAGCCAACGACGTTCAACGCTAGAAATCAGCTGTGCGCTTGAATTTTATTGTTATGATTTAAAGAATTTTCCTAACCTAGCATTTGTTTGTAAATGAACGTTACTGTCAGAAGATGAGTGAAATGGATAATAAAAATATTGTTCCTAACCTCCTGTATATTGTCGGGTCAGGTAAAATCTTGTACGTTACATGTTACGCAAGAGCTTGTTTACATCACTTAGGAGAATTCACCTACGTGATGTAAAAACGCTCTAACTACTCTTGTATTGTAAATAGCTATTTAAAAGGCCTTGTATAGCCTTGATAGGAAAGGAGTATTTTAACATTTTTAACAGATGGAAAGGTTAGGGATCCCCAGAAAAATGATGAAGGGGTGGAAATGACCCTGAATGGATCATTAAAATGTAATGTTGAAATAGATGGAGAGTTGTCAGAAAGCTTTGAAGTACAGGCGTAAGGCAAGGTGATGCAGTGTCACCGATACTATTTAACATAGCCTTAGAAGATGTCCTCCAAGAAGTAAGGCAAACAAATATAGGCTTGAAAATGGGAACAAGAATAAACATCCTAGTATTTGAGGACGATGTAGTCATCCTGTCAAAAACAGAAATGACCTGGACGAGCTAACCAGACTTTTCATACATAAAAAAGAGCAAATAGGCCTAAAATGTATGATAAGAAGACTAAAAATACATGCATTTTTGTTGTTTTTACCTCCTGATCACGATTTAAATTAATACTACAGTTGAAAATACCTTAATCCGTCTCTAAGATCATGTCACCGATTAGGGGCGTCTGAATTCAACCCAGCAATGGGGTCATGCTCAGGCAAAGAAAGAACATAGAATCACTTGGAAGAGGTCATCAGAAAGTCTATAATCACGGAACGAAGAGCAACTACACTTTAAACACATTTTTACAACGAAGGTCATGATTTGTAACTCAATGTACGCGTACCATCCACCACGCAGTTGATTTGTGGCCACCTGTGTTTATGGTGCTAGGAGCAGCCAATGTGCTGTAGTTTAGTTTCATTCAACAGGAAAGGCATATTATAACATGTACTGCGTTTCAGTCGTTGTGGACGTAGTTTGATAAGAACCCAAAAGATAGCAGCACTAAACAGCAGGCTCTCAGTATTGCCTAATGGAGGGAAAAAGCAGGGACGAAAAATCCGGTTACACAATCAACAAATATTGCAAAAAGGTGTAAAGCACAATTTTGAGGTTAGGTTCCTTCCACTTTATTGCAGAAATGATTATCACTATTCCATTCCATTTTACTAAATCCAAGCCAAAACCCCACACTACACTAAATTTGGAAAAATCCCATCTACCGATAAAATAGTTGTATCTGAAAACGAATTACACTGGATTGAAATATAAAACTGGTGCAATTAGCGGCTATCGGAAACAACGTTCCCCGTGCGAGGCTGAGCTCACACTGAAGCAAGGTTTTTCCCCTCACACTCAACGTGTTAAGGGAAAAGCCAAATTATGGGTCCCGCACTTTGGGTTGGGTAGCATACGAGACCTCGGGAGCTCGTAACACAGTGAACGTGTTAAAAGTATTATATTTATTTTATGTAAATTAGAATCTAAACAAAATTGTCAATCAGTTGTTTTAACTTAAAAAAAACTGTCTAATGTTTATGTAAGTATAGGCTTTATAAACGAGTGATTTTTACCATCGACTGTAAAATAAATTAATGTGTTGTGTTGAGGATTATCAGGTTAAAATTTCCCCCATAATAAACTGAAATTCCACTGAAATTTAAATAATAAAAGCCAAAATAAGTTGTAAATAAAACGTGACTTTCCTTTACCTTGCTTTTACAATCAAAATTAACTATACCGAGCCATGGTTCGGTCCCCCGGTACTAAATTGTTAAGTTTTCAGCAGTGTACTGAGAGCATAATAATGCTTCCATTAAGTCAAAATATGCTACTCACCTATTGTAGACAACTTCATAAATATGTTTCGATGGGAAGTGAACATTAGCCTTTGGAAGACTTATTTGAATCTGAAGTTTGGTATTTTTTGAAGCGGTTTTGATAAATTTATCCATTTCTTCCCGGTCACCAGGAATAATGAGTTCTTCGCCATCACCTAGATTGAACAATAAATAAGTAATAAGTAATTTATTCAGCCAAATTAACCAATACAATTAGCGTCAACCATGACAAAATAAACTAAATCTAAAATATGCAACTTTCTTAGGTAGTAACATTTGTGAAACTATTTTCCGGTTATGACTACCAGCCTATAAATCCAGGACGTAAACCTTATTTAAGAGCAGTCTCTTCACTGCTCTCTTAAAAGTCTGGTGATCCTGCTCGGTCTTAAAACACCAGAGGGAGACTGTTGTACAGCTGTGTAGCGTTATACTTAAAATTATGTTGAAAGAATGAAGTGGAGTGTTTGGGTTTTTAGAAGGATAAGATAACTCTAGATCCTTTTTTTGGAGACGAAACAATAGCAAAGTCCTTTGGTTTTCAATTCTCCAGACAGATACAGCATATAAATGGAAATACTATGCCATAGTATGCCGACAGGAGTACCTCACTACACTACCAGCCGTTGGTTTCAGAGTTTCAAGAATGAAAACCCGAGTACAGACTTTACTGGTTGGCCTACACTTTCAATGTAAAGGTGAAATTTCAGATTTTCCTCCAGTATCAAACCAAGAAACTTTACACTTTGGGATGAGGTTACAATATTGTCTTCTAGAAGAACATTAAGGCCACAGCTGTTTGTTGACGATGGCCTATTAGATATGTGGAAGTTCAACATTTGAGTTTTCTCTGTGTTTAAAATCAGCAGGTTTTTATAAAACCATTGCATCAACATAAGGTATGGAAACCAGCTGTGTCCTTTCCGTTAAATAGGAAGCAAACCACTCTAGCCCTATTCCCCTGATTCCCAAGAGAAAGATTCTTTTTTAAAATAAATCACGGTTTACCATACCAAATTCCTTGCTTAGGTAAAAAAAATTATTTGTTACATACTGTTTGTTTAAGTTTTTCATTATCTTTTTTACTAAGCTAAGGATGGCACTTGTAGTTGATTTATTCTTTCAAAAGCCTTGTTGTTTGGGGCCAAGTATTTTATGTGTTTCAAGGATGTCATAAAGTCTATTCAAAACAGCATTTTTGAAAATGTTGTACATTGTAGAAAGCAGACTGATAGTTATCATAAAGTGTTAAATCTCCTTTCTTAAAAACCGGAATAACCACTGCCACTTTCAGTACTGATGGAAATGTCTCCTCGACAAACAAATGGTTTACTAGGTGGCATAACGGTCTGGCTACGTATTTGCTAATCGTCTTCAGCATTTTAGGAGATATCTCATCAAGTCCACCCGAGGTTTTACTTTTCATTGAATTTATAATTTTTTTATTCCACTTTCTATGACAGGGTCAAGAAAATATGACTGTGCTTTGTGTGTGTCGTTTGTTAAATAATTTCTTTCTTCAATTGACAAACTTTCCCCTATAGGTAGTACTGTAAAATGCTTGTTGGGTGCCTCACATACTTTATCCAGCTTGCTCACTTCCTCTCCTCCTCTATTTAGAAGATGAATAGTTCTGAGTTTCCCACTCTTTTCCATTTTTTTTCGATTGTAATTAATTAACTCACAGATGGTTTTACCTTTTTTTCAGAGTTTTCTTTTTTGTTCAAGCAATCACCTAAGATCTCTAATACTTTATTGCAGCCTGAGGTAGTCTATAACCGGCCACCAGTCAGCCACCAAATGAGACTTAAATTTGTTTAAATCTGAACATAAACTACAGAAATGTTTCAAATATTAGTTACAGCCTAGCATTTTATTAGGGGAAAAAATGTATCCCCAGGGTGTCTACCAGATATCTCAAATGGAATTCCCGACTTTTTCCCGACTTTTCATTACCATTTTTATATAAATCCCGACCAAACACTCGGTCCATTCTCCATGTTACTACACCTTTTTCCGTCTCGCGGTCACGGTACCTTCGTCAACATATGTTGTCACTTACGACCCAGCGAAATCACTGAAGATCGAAACGTATCACATGCCAAGAAAATCCCGTATTAAATGTAGGGGTGTGTGAAGCAGCAAAACATTTCAACTCAAAGCAACGATTCGATTTAAAAAAATTTTGATGTAACTCGGTTCGAAGCAACATGGATTTTTCTATTCATACTTCTCAGTGGAGTGAAATATCTGTTTTCAATCATACATTAGAAGAACCAGTATTTCTAGAAATATCAGTGAGCTTCTTGCCTATTTCATAATTTTTACTTGCAGCATCATGTTGTTAAGTATGTTACCTATTTTATTTTATTCATTTTATAAATAAAGATATGTTTGGGTGTAAACAAATAAAAACCTTTGTAAGATTTAAATACTGAATCTTTCAATTGGTTTACATTGATAAAATAAGAGGATAGAATCAGAACTACAAGGTATACATAACTTCTTGTATGGCGAAGCAATGTCTCAGTGTATGCCATGTACTTGGATGGCAATAACCTGTATGGCTAAGCAATGTCTCAGTGTATGCCATGTACTTGGATGGCAATAACCTGTATGGTCAAGCAATGTCTCAGTGTATGCCATGTACTTGGATGGCAATAACCTGTATGGTCAAGCAATGTCTCAGTGTATGCCATGTACTTGGATGGCAATAACCTGTATGGCTAAGCAATGTCTCAGTGTATGCCATGTACTTGGATGGCAATAACCTGTATGGCTAAGCAATGTCTAAGTGTATATCATGTACTTGGATGGCAAAAACCTGTATGGCTAAGCAATGTCTCAGTGTATGCCATGTACTTGGATGGCAATAACCTGTATGGCTAAGCAATGTCTCAGTGTATGCCATATACTTGGATGGCAATAACCTGTATGGCTAAGCAATGTCTCAGTGTATGCCATGTACTTGGATGGCAATAACCTGTATGGTCAAGCAATGTCTCAGTGTATGCCATGTACTTGGATGGCAATAACCTGTATGGTCAAGCAATGTCTCAGTGTATGCCATGTACTTGGATGGCAATAACCTGTATGGCTAAGCAATGTCTCAGTACTCAGTGTATGCCATGTACTTGGATGGCAATAACCTGTATGGCTAAGCAATGTCTCAGTGTATGCCATGTACTTGGATGGCAATAACCTGTATGGTCAAGCAATGTCTCAGTGTATGCCATGTACTTGGATGGCAATAACCTGTATGGTCAAGCAATGTCTCAGTGTATGCCATGTACTTGGATGGCAATAACCTGTATGGCTAAGCAATGTCTCAGTACTCAGTGTATGCCATGTACTTGGATGGCAATAACCTGTATGGCTAAGCAATGTCTCAGTACTCAGTGTATGCCATGTACTTGGATGGCAATAACCTGTATGGCTAAGCAATGTCTCAGTGTGTGCCATGTACTTGGATGGTAATAACTTGTATGGCTAAGCAATGTCTCATCTCAATGAATAGCTTATATAATTAATGTCAATCATTTGAATAATGTCAATAAGTTATATGGATACTGATAGTCAAAGTAACAGTATCAATGTAACAGTCAACTACGTATATGGATACTGATTCAATGACGTATAGACACTGATTCAAAAAGTTATTTGGATAATGATTCAATACCGTATATAGATACTGATTCCATAACGTATGGATGCTGATTCAAAAACGTATATTATGGACCCTGAATGCCCATGATTCAAATCGTTATTTTGATCATCACTGAATCGAATTGGAATTCCGATGCATTTTCGTTTCATCCCCCACCCCTCAAATGTAATCCCGTCCCAATGATCAGAAATATAAGATCCAGAACATTTTTTTAAAGTTTTGGGACCCGTTCATCCCTAATTTTGAAAGGTTAGATTATTCCCGACTTTCGGCCGAAATTCATGACTTTTTCACGACTTTTCCCGACCTTTCAAAATCCCCGACTTTTTCCCGAATTTCCCGGAATTCCCGACTGGTAGACACCCTGATCCCACATTTGTACATGTTGATAAAGATTGAAAATTGCTTTGTTTGTATTGTGTAGTAGAGTGAAATAAAGCAATTTAGGTAGAATGGCTACCTAAACTAGGTTATGGATAAACTAGTACCATAGACCATAGACAAAAATAATTAAATATAGACCGTCAGCTGTGCTGCGGTTACCATAGGTTCTGGCGCACACCACTTGGAGCGCCATGTAGTTACGGCGTACGCGCTACGTAGACTACAGCGGTGTGCGCCGGAACCTATGGTAACCATGGTAACCGCAGCACAGCTGACAGTCTATATTTAATTCTTTTTGTCTATGCATAGACTAACCAACACAAGTAGACTTCTCATCCCATTGTAAATTTTGAAGCATGTTTTTTTTTTTTTTTTTGTGTCTAGTTCTAGTTCATGTACACTGGGCTCTAGTGTCGATGAAATTTTGTTTCTATTATTTGAAATATTCTTGAGTGTGGCAGATTGCGTGAAAATATCATAATAATAATAGAATCTATGGCTCTTACCGTCAACGCAATCAGGGGTGATATTCCAATACGGCCGTTTCGGAGATGACTCCATCGTCAGGTGCGTAGTGGTACACTAAACTATAGTCTTGTCACATTTAACACGAATTGTCTTCATTTGCATTGCGTCAGGGGTTGAATAAATAATACACATATAAAAACAGGATGGACACACGAAAACACAAATATACGAAAATATTTACAGCGCGTGCACGGCTTGAAAACTGACGACCGACTGTTCAATCCTGGTCACTGCAGGAGTTACGTGGATGACTGGAACAGCTGATAACACGGTGTGCCAACCTTATCTACTCAAATTATTTCTTTCCTGTTTGATTTCTATTATTCTCTCAAAAATTGGATTAGCTGCTGAATTTGTTTGGGAGTTAATTACTAAGTTGGGTTCTTTAACTGTACTGCTGTAGATGTGGAAATTTTTGATGCAATTTAGTTTGTGACTTTTATTGCAAATATGTAGTTTTTTTTAACTGTTTATGTCGAAATAATCATGGCACTACTGTTGAATGTGTTTGGCATAATATGAAGCAGGGTTGGTTTCTTGATGGCACTTATGTGCTCTTTGTATCTGGTCTTAAAG